TGGGCTCCCGTTTTGGATCTAAACTGAAATTATCTGAAAATGAGAGAAAAGGGATCAACATTGAAAGGAAAGATGTGGAAGGAGCACTACTAGGATTTCAGTATACTTTGATTGCTGAAGTTCTTACAACAAATGAGGTGAATGGCGAGGCGTTTGTTGATTATTTCATGTCTTTATGGCGGGGTAGGGAAGGAGTCTCTATTCGAGATATTGGGGAGCGACGTTTCCTAGCACGGTTTGCGGGGCAACGAGATCTGAGTAGAGTAGTGGATGCGGATCAACCTTGGACCTTCAAGAATGACCTAGTATTAGTGGCGGATAGAACGGAATCTGGGCTTAATAGATGGGCTCCGCTATCTATGGGAACTTTCTGGGTTCAGATCCACAATGTCCCCCCGCTCAGTATGACTATGGCGGTTGCTGAATCCATTGGGGGTCTGATGGGTATAGTCCGAAGGATTGATATTGCGGGTAGCCGCGACTGTATTGGGCGATTTCTCCAGGTTAAAATCAACTTCAATGTTCGCGAACCCCTGATGCGAGGAACTTATGTGAATTTCCCCGATGAGGGGAAGGTTTGGATTGATTTTAAATATGAAGCGCTACCGAGATACTGTCTAATCTGTGGAATGTTAGGACATGCCACGAGAGTCTGCAAAAGTACGATGTGTGAATCAGGGCAACAAGATGCGGACTCGGGGAACCTGGATGAAGAGTATGCTTTTCGTGGGTTGGATGCGGTGACTGACCTCCGGGGAAAACTACTGGGGCTGGGTCCACGAAGTAGGGGCTCCGTCGGATCCAATGGGGGAGACAGAAGCTCTAGAAGGTGGAAGGAAGTCCGAAGTGAAGAACATGAGGGAATGTGGAAGTCAGGGCGGTCCTCCACGGCTTCCGGAACGGGTTTTCGTACACCTTCAGGTGGGGGGAGATCTCGGAATGAGGAGGGCAGCCAGGATAATGAAGACGAGGAAGTGATTGATACGGCTATCTCGCCGAGTAAACCCCGATGGTCGTCGAATAAACCGGAGCAGAGGAACCCATCCTTGGCAATCAAAATCCAGCGACAACGAAGTGAGGAGGAAGAGGCGAGAAAGGCCAGGGAAAGGGCTTTCGATGAGGGTCTAATTGGCCCAGGAGGTGTAGTTGCTGATGGAGTTGAGCACGTCGTACTTAAGGAACTACGTGAAAAGGAGGATGGGGAAAAGGTAGCGGCTAATCTACTGGAGTGCACCAAAGGTTTTGATTTGAATGTTGTGATGCACACCATAATGAAGTGGAACAGGATCGGCCTACCAGAATGAACAAACCGTTCAAGCAGGTGACTGACCAATTCGGACGGGAAGGCACTAATACTGCGAGCAGAGATCCTTTTGAGTTGGAACCAATTATCAAGGCGGCGACAAAAGAGCAAAGAAGGAAAAAACGCTTGTATACCGAGGTGGAGCATTCAGGTCTAGTGGAACAGCTCGAACCAGAGAGCACCCGTCCAAGGAAGTGTTCATTTTCTGAGGCGAAGGAGACCAGCCTTGAGGGGTCTCCCAAATCCCCATGAAGCTACTTGCTTGGAACTGTCAGGGTATCGAGGGTGACCTGACGATGGACAACCTGTTGGAAATGAACAGGATTCACACCCCCGACATAGTGATCTTGCTGGAGACTAAAAATAAAAGCAATCGCTATAGTTTTTTGAAAAAAAAAGTTGAATTTGGAGTTTATGCACGCTGTGGAGCCTAGAGGGATTGAAGGAGGATTATGTGTAATGTGGAGAGATGTTTCCCAGGTGGTGTGGATAAAATCTAGGGAATTCATGATTGAGGCGGAAATCTGGGACGATTGCAAGCAATGTGCCTGGCACCTAGTTGCTATCTATGCTAGTACGGATGAGAAAAAACGGAGGGACCAATGGATGTCCCTAAGTCAACGGATTAGTAGAGCTGGAGAAAGATGTCTTTTAATTGGAGATTTCAACGACATCTTGAGCAATGATGAAAAAGAGGGAGGCAAGTACAGATCGGTGGCTAGCCTGCGGGACTTCCGGGAATTTGTGGCGCGCAACGACCTTATGGATTTGGGCTACGAGGGCTACCCATTTACGTGGAGGAATAACAGGGACTCAGGACCAATCCAACAGCGCCTTGACCGAGGTCTGGTTAGCATGGGATGGCAGCACATATACCCTGACACCAAAATCCGACATATGGTGCTTGAGGGGTCTGATCACGCGATGCTTGGACTAACTACGGAGAAAGCTAGGATATGGAAAGGGAAAAGATTTATGTATGAGGAAAGATGGAGTAAGCAACCTGAGTGCCAGGATTTGGTGGGGGAGGAATGGCAAGTCAACTACAATGGCTCCCATGGATACCGTCTAAGTGAAAAACTCAAATCCCTTGGAAAGAGTTTGAAAGTTTGGTACAAAGGAAGGGCTCGAAACTCTAAACAGGCCATTGACCGTTTGAAAGGTGAGATTCGGTCTGCTTACATGTCAAACAACTTCGCCACCACCGAGGTTCAATTAAAAGAAAAGGAGTTAAGAGAAGCACACAAGGAAGAAGAGAGTTATTGGAGGTCTAAATCCAGAGTGCAGTGGCTGAAAGAAGGGGACAAAAAACACAAAGTTTTTTCATGCCCAAACGATGAAAAGACGACGATACAACCAGATTCGAGGAGTGGAAGATGCTGACGGGATTTGAAGGGAAGGTCAGAACGAGGTGGCTTCGATTGCGGTGGGGTACTTCTCCACTCTCTTCCAAGCAGGCCCGCCATGCCAGTTGGAAAACATCGTGGACTGTATGGAGCCTAGGGTGACTTTGGAGGATAACCAAATGTTGACCGGACCGATTACGGATAGGGAGATTCAGGAGGCGGCTTTCCAGATTCCTGCGTTTAGGGCTCCGGGGCCGGATGGTTTCCCCGGCAGTTTCTACCATGATCACTGGGAGGTGGTGGGGCGGGACGTGGTTAACATGATAAAGGCTTTCTGGCACTCGGGTAAACTACTTCGAAACCTAAACCATACTAACCTGGTTCTTATTCCTAAAGTGGCATGCCCAAAGAATATGAAGCAATTTCGTCCTATTGCTCTGTGTAATGTTAGCTACAAGATTCTGGCTAAGGTACTAACGAATTGGCTGAAGAGAGTAATGCCGAATGTCATATGTGATAATCAATCGGCTTTCGTGGCGGGGAAGCAGATACAAGACAACATCCTTGTTGTGCATGAAATTCTTCACTCCCTTATGCATCAATCGAAGGCGGATACTATGGGGATGGCAATAAAATTAGATATGGCTAAAGCCTATGACCGGGTGGAATGGGATTTCCTCCTGGCCATGATGAGCAAACTGGGCTTTGACCAGAGGTTTTGCGACCGCATCAAGGAATGCATTTCCACAGTGTCTCTCAGCATACTACTAAATGGCAACCCAACTGGCTACATCAAGCCACAGAGGGGGTTACGACAAGGCGATCCCTTATCCCCATATTTGTTTCTCCTCTGTACTGAGGGTTTTTTGGCCCTAATTCGGAAAGGTTTGGAGCATGGAACTCTGCATGGAATTAGAGTCTCTCCCACGGGGAAGCCAATCTCGCACCTTTTCTTTGCTGATGACTCGGTCATATTCTGTAATGCCTCGGCTGAGGATGCTCGTGGGGTTGGTGACATCCTGAGGACTTATGCGTCCGGATCCGGCCAAGAAATAAATTTGACCAAGAGCTCTATCATGTTTAGCCCTAAGACTAAGAAACGGGTTAAAAAGGAAATTGTCCATATCCTGAACATCCAATGCAGGGATGGCTTTGGGAAATACCTGGGACTGCAGGCCGACTTTGGGCTGTCTAAAAAAGCTGTGTTTGAGGAGATTCGTGAACGAATTGAATCTCGCATGGCTGGATGGGCGGAACAATTTCTTTCTCAGGCAGGCAAGGAAATTCTTATCAAGGCAGTGGCAATGGCAATGCCCAACTATGCCATGAGCTGCTTCAAGCTCCCTATTGGGGTGTGTAAAGATATTGAGAAAGCTGTTAGAAACTACTGGTGGCGGGGGAACGGGTGCAGGAAAGGGATCCACTGGGTTGCCTGGGAAAAACTTCGATCGCAGAAACGCAATGGAGGACTAGGCTTTAAAGACTTCCAGTGTTTTAACCTTGCCCTTCTAGCCAAGATTGGATGGAGGATCACTCTGCAACCTGACTCACTCCTTGTTAATGTCCTGAGAGAAAAGTATTTTCCTGGGAAAACTTTCGGGGAAGCCAGCGGAGGAAGAGGAACATCATGGGGATGGAAAGGCATTTTTGAAGCTCGGAAGGTACTTGCCAATGGTATTCGATGGCGGGTGGGTAATGGAACTTGTATCAATATCAGGAAAGATTCGTGGTTCCCAAAACCTTCCACTTTCAAGGCTCGGGTGAATGAGGGACTGCAAGCAAGTATGGTGAGTGACCTCATTGATCCTGAAACCCGTGAGTGGAAAACTGACATTGTTAAAGGGGGTTTTTTGAAAGAGGATGTGTCCTCGATTCTTAGTATACCTCTTAGCAGATACGGCATGAGCGATCGCCTAGTCTAGCATTATTCTAAGAATGGGGAGTATACCGTTCGAACTGGATACGGGATAGCCTTGGGACTCATGGAAAATGGCGACCTGGGAAAGAAGGGAAGGGGAATGCCAAGCTCTGCCCCAAGCCTCACTCATGTTTGGAACAAAATATGGAAATTGGAGGTTCCAAATAAAATGAAGTTTTTCATTTGGAAATGCTGCAATAACGCTTTGGCTGTTCGACGGAATCTGAAACGAAGAAATATGAGAGTTGACAATATTTGCGAGGGGTGTATGCAGCCTGACGAGACGGATAACCATCTATTTTTTCGATGCGAAATCAGTCATATTTTTTGGTTTTGCTCTCCTCTACAACTCAATTCCTTCGAACTGGAAGGAACCGACTTCCTTGCTTCCTGGGGGTCTTTTTGCGGCAGAGTTAAGGGGAAAGAAAACGAAATGGAGCTGATGCAAGAATTTGTGTTTGGGCTTTGGCGTCTCTGGAAAAACAGGAATGATTTAATTTTCAAAGGAGTGTCCCATAAACCCCTTGATATTCTCGGGCTCTGGACGAGGAATCTGGGCGAGTTCAGGGCGGCGGGATTTCAAAGAACAACAAGCGCTCAACCTACTGATAGACTGTCGTCCCTTGTTCCGGCGAGAAGATCCGGACTGTGGACAAAGCCGGCCTTCGGCACTATCAAGGTAAATACTGATACTGCTTGGCGCAAGGAGACTTTATATGCAGGTGTAGGATGGGTTGCTCGAGATTTTGCTGGCTTGCTGTAGGCGGCGGAGGGCTCGGGAGGGAGACTATGCCGTAGTGTTGCAGCAGCTGAGATGTTAGCAATCCGCACTGCTTTGGAATTCTGTGTTCGTTGTGGTTTCAATTCAATGGCCATCGAATCAGATGCTAAAAGCATAATCCAAATGCTTCGGAATGAGACTACTCCTGACTTTAGTTTGGAATGTATTTTTGGTGACATCGTGACTCTAGCTCGTGGACTGGAGTCGGTAACTTACGAGTTTGTTTCTCGGGAAAGTAACCGTGCGGCGCACTCGGTGGCCAAGTATGTTTCCAAGAAGGAAAGGATTTTGTCTGGGACCATATTGGGCCTGATTTTCTGTTTAATATTCTGGCTCAGGATGTAAACCTATCTATTCGTTTATAAAATTTCTGCCTTTGGTTTAAAAAAAAAAAAAAAAATTTCCTTTTCCCTAACTAAGTATACTGCGTAAAATTGTATTATACAATTTTGATAAAAAAAAAATGTGTATACCCCATTACCCCAAAGTTGGAGAGATTTTTCATCTGTCCGGGCTACGGGCACATACATCATATGTCATTATACAAGTGGATGGATACTTGAAAAAAAAAAGAACTTCCTTCCACTTGTATAATAACATAGAGAGTAATGCTAGAGAATACTAAATTTGCAGACAAAATTTGTAAACTAAATGACTTGAAAATTGTTTATTAGATTATTACTTAAGCGTCCATAAATATGCTCATTTTCCATTGCTGACACATCATTTAATTTGTAAATTTTGTCTAGAAATTTAGTTACTCTAGCATTGCTCTAATACATATAACATATTATTTCGTATTTTGGGCACACTAAAAAATCTCTCCCCCAAGTTAATGTTCCAATTATTTTATTTTATTATTCATTTTTTTTTTCAACAAAACTTTTTGTAAATTGTAATTATTCTCCTCCATTTGGCAAATGAAAAGGACAGAAAAAGAATCCTACTGTGTAACTCGCATAATTCCATTCCCTTTTTTTCCACTCCTAGCTAGGTAGCCAAGACAAGTTATAGTAGCTAAGATATATATAAACTTGTGCTCGATCCAGGTGTGGGAGAGAGGGATACCAACCAACCAATCAGTCAAATAGATATATATATATATATATATATATAGAGCTTAAGGGGAGGAATCCCTATTTTTTGAAAAAAATGGGGATTAGGTGTGGGGCTCACTTTATATCTAATTTTAACGATCCGAACCGTCTATTTTGTTAGTCTCAATTCATAGATCATCCTTGCAAAATATTAGCTAAATTGGAAATGTTTAAGACATCTAATTGGGTTCAAGGAAATGAACGAATACTTTGTTATATAAGAAAATATGAAATTCGATATTGATAATTAAATAGGCAAATGGTTTCGGATTGAATTGAATTTTTGCAAGGATGATCTATGAATCGAGACTAACAAAATAGACGGTTCGGATCGTTGAAATTTGATGTGAAGTGAGCCCCACACCTAATCCCCATTTTTTTCAAAAAATGGGGATCCCTCCCCTTAAGCTCTATGTCTATATATATATATATATATATATATAATATGGGGTTCGAATTCTGTATTTTTAGTTACTTACTCAATCCAAATTTAAATAGAAAATTAGGATCTTTTATTTTGGCTTTTACCATAATTTAGTTAAAGGTATAAACAACTATCCAAATGAACATTTTTAAAAATTGGGAGTTGGAAATCTTGTGGAAATTGAAGTGCATGCTGTCAGTTAAGATTAATCACTTGATATTGGTTTCCCAAGTAGGGTGGCTTTGTGCAATTTGGTGGAGGGAATGAGGAGTTGGGAATTTATCTTTTCTTGATTTGGTGTTTGTTAATGCTGGGAATTTAATGAATTTGTAGTTGCAATGCTTGATTTCTTTTGGATACAGTTGCAGAGCTTGAAAGTTGCTCGAATAATGGTGATCTTTTGAAAAAGTTGCTGATGGCATTTGATAGCAATTGTGTTATTTTTATTATCCAACATTGACAATGCACTAAAAGTTTTATTATTATTATACTATGTTGTTTATACTAGTCAATCCTGCATTGTTCGTAAAGCTAATTTAGTCTAAAATAATTAATCGTAATGAATGGGGAAAAGATTCTATATCCAATACAAAAATACGTACTACTTACTAGATCAAAGAAGGCACAAAGAAAACTATTTTGGATGGAATCGAAGGTGAAAGACCAAGGTTTGAATGTAACTAAGTTTGTGAAACAAGCCACAAACAAACTAGCTAGTTGTGAATCAATTGGAAGCTACAAGCCAAGAACGAACTCACAGAGAGAGAGAGAGAGGTGACAAATGCCATGGGAGTGCATGTGAACCTTGTTCCGGAAGTACGTGAATATCGCCAGTGCGCTTTCTCAAATCCCAGTCTCTTCCGTCTCTCTCTGATGAATGCGTCTTTGTATGAGTCAGTGCTTGTCACTATAAAGACTGAAACCCCACACGTGCATTTCTGACAGACACACCCATTCGTATCAAGTCAGACTGATGATCTGATCAAGTTATTTGCAGAGACGTTGAAAAGTGTACACACTCACATGACAGAGCGATCTTGTATTCCCAATACGATCTCTATTGATTTTTTTATGAGGATCCTGAAAATTCCTGAATCTTGTTTGTTTATTGTAAATCATACAATCAGTTTTTATCAAGTTATATTTTTATTTAATTTAAAATGATTTTTGATAGTATAATATATGATAAACAAATATGATTCACGCATTCTCAAGATTCGGCATGCGAATTCCTTATATTCAACGCAGTCGCCCCACACGTGTGGCCGCAGGCCTAGTGTCTAGTGGCTGACCACCCTATAACCCTAGTTTGACTTTGAGCTCACTTGTCACTCTCCCCCGTGCGAGTTTATCCTCCCACCACGTTTGAGGATCTCCGGAATATGTCAGGAATTAATTTATTTGAATCGTTTATCGTATATTGTGTAATAAGATTTTTTAAATATTATTTATATTTAATTTTATATAAAAAATACAAATTAATTTCTGATCGAAAAAATAACGAATGGATAAAATAAATTGACCTTAAAGATCCTCACAAAGAGAATCTAAATAGGATAATGTTCCACCTCCGCCCCTTCCCTACTTAAAGGGGTAAGCTTTGGAACCGGACACTTTCATCTTCTTGTGTTATTAATCACTTTCATCTTTTTGGGACCATCGGCTCTATTTTGATTCGGGAACAAAAATTTATGTTTCTGCCTCATGCATGCCAAAATTGTATGAAGAGATAAATTAGTCTATCATCAATGGGCGGTAAAATACCTTTTATAAACCAACATTTTTCTAGATGATACATACTATGGAACTATATATGCAACGAGCTATATACCTGTAGGCTCATCGGTCATTTTTAATTTACTTTTATTTATGTTTTGAGTCGAACAATCATATTACGTTGTTAATTGCACTTGCTAACACAAAACCGCATTTGACAAAGGGAACTTCACAACATCAATTGTACCAACAATAACTACGGCGTGTATTGATGACATAGCGACTGCATATATGTCCTCATTTTCTTTAAATGCGAGTAACTTGCAACTTTGAAGTTGAATACTTTAGTTTTAACATAACATAGAGAGGACAACTACCTATATATGAGACTCAACAACCATACATATTTCCTATATTACGAAATACATACAAATTAATAATGCATTCGGAATTAGCAAGGTTTTAACTTTTTAGCGTGCATCACTAGGGTTCAAAGTTTTATTCTTTCTCATCAAAAAGTATTCTTAACAAGAAAAAATTCTATCGTTTTAAGGTTCTATCGTTTCTCGTAAAAAAGTTCTACACTATTTCCAACTTGCGGAGGCATTTGCTCCTAAAGTTGAGCAAATTAAGATTCGTAATCATATTGGGAAATTGACGAGTGAAGCTAGCTTACTTTTCTTTTGAATGTTTGTGAAGTATTTGTCACAATTGGACAATTATTGGAGTTCATCAATCTTGCATTATTGGTTTGGTATTGCTTGACTAACCACAAAAAAATCCGATTTGTTTCCTCCGCTACCTGACACACACCGAATTAGTGGATGAGAATTCACCAAGGATTGCATAGCACGAATGGTTTTTTCCTCCAATTTATACTTGCTCGTATAAATTCAAATGAGTAATGTGAGGTAGATCAAAGAGTAATGCTAGGGAGATTAAAATTGCAAACTAAATGATGTGTCACCAATAGAAATGAACATGTCTATCAACGCTTAAGTAATAATCCAATCATCAACTTTCATATCCTTTAGTCTCCAAAATTTAGTCTTCAAATTGAGTATCCCTAGCATTACTCGTAGATTAAATGTGTAAACTAAATTTACAAACTAAATATTGTGTCACTAACAAAAAATAAATATGTTAATCAACACTTAAGTAATAATTCAATTATCAACTTCTTTTGACAAAAAAAAAAAAAATCAACTTCCATGTTTTTTTGTTTACAAAATTTATCTATAAATTTAATCTTCTTAGCATGATCCCGTCCAAATTATGACCATAGAAATACTAGTCCACCCTCACTATCCATGTCCATGATTGAACACTCTTGATTGTTAGTGAAATGCTATACATATGAATATCATTTTCAATCTGAAAATGGTGTCTTAGGATAAAAGGTAGATAAAAACCTTTTTCAATTAGAAGAAGAGAAATGCTAACGAAACTCTTTCAAAAGAGGGACTGTTTATAGACTTTCTGCAACTTCATTCTTTTTTATGCAATATTTTATAATATTTGTATGAAAATTGACTTTAAATTGGAAAGTAGTTGAGAGTCCATAAAAAGTCTCATCATAAAACTGTCACCTTAGCATTTCTCTAAGAAGAAAGAAACACTTACACATATAAAAGCTTGTAATTATCGTTTCATGTGTTCAAGGAAAAAAAAAAAGGTTCATTGGAATTATGATCTTTAGCTTTTTAATTAAACGAAATCAATTCTTTGGTCCCCTGTACAGATGAATAAATGGATCCAAGATTTGATAAGATCTCGTGGTCCTTTTGTGACTTTAAAGCTGGTACAGTACATTTACATATATAGATTAACGTCAGGGAAATCTCATTTTTGTTATACAGTTTTAATAAACGAACTCAAAAGACAAGTAATGCATAAAACTAAAATCCAAAATAATAAATTGATTAATTAACATAATATGTATACATCACTCGTCAACTTATGAAACATCAATGTAGTACGAAAATATGATCTGTCTAGCCTTTTCCATATATCTATTATCTATATATGATCTTTTCCATATATCTATTATCTATATATGATCTTGATGTTTGGGATTGTGGTTTCGCAGAGCTGATAGAAAAGAAAAG